CATAGAACAATATCGGACCTCTGAAAAGTATAAGCATGCATATGTACTCAGTACTTGGTTTGGGCCCCATTTGCAGCAATTACTGCCTCAATGCAGTGTGGCATGGAAACTATCAGCCTGTGGCACTGCTGAGGTGTTATGGAAGACCAGGATGCTTTAATAGCGGCCTTCAGCTCTTCTGCATTGTTCGGTGTCATGTCTCTCATCTTTCTCTTGGAAATGCCCCATATATTCTCTATGGGGTTCAGGTCAGGTGAGTTTGCTGGCCAATCAAGCACAGTAATCCCACGGTCATTGAACCAGGTTTTGGTGCTTTTGGCAGTGTGGGCAGGTGCCAAGTCCTGCTGGAAAAAGAAGTCAGAATCCCCATAAAGCTCATCTGCGGAAGGAAGCATGAAGTGCTCCAAAATCTCGTGGTAGACGGCTGCGTTGACCCTGGACTTAATGAAGCACAGTGGACCAACACCAGCAGATAGCATGGCTCCCCAAATCAACACAGACTGTGGAAACTTAACACTGGACTTCAAGCATCTTGCAGTGTGTGCCTCTCCATTCTTCCTCCATACTCTGGGTCTTTGGTTTCCAAAAGAGATGCAAAAGTTGCTCTCATCAGAAAAGAGGACTTTGGACCACTGAGCAACAGACCAGGTCTGTTTTTCTTTAGCCCAGGTAAGACGCTTCTGACGTTGTTTGTTGTTCACGGAGCGCCTTGACAAGAGGAATACGACATTTGAAGCCCATGTCCAGGATCCGTCTGTATGTGGTGGCTCTTGATGCACTGACTCCAGCCTCAGTCCACTCCTTGTGAAAGTCCCCAACACTTTTGAATGGCCTTGTCCTGACAATCTTCTCCAGGCTGCGGTCATCCCTGCTGCTTGTGCACCTTTTTCTTCCACACTTTTCCCTTCAACATAACTTTCTATTAATGTGCTTTGATATTTTGCAATTACCTTTTGAGGAGGGTGTCAATGATGGTTTTCTGCACAACTGTCAGGTCAGCAGTCTTTCCCATGATTGTGATTCCTACTGAATCATACTGAGAGACCATTTAAAGGCTCAGGAACCCTTTGCAGGTGTTATGGCTTAATTAGCTGATTAGAGTGGGACACTTTGAGCCAAGAATATTGCACCTTTTCACAATATTCTAATTTTCTGAGATTGTGGATTTGGGGTTTTCATGAGCTGTAAGCCATAATCATCACAATGGTGACAAATCACGGCTTGAACTATCTTGCTTTGCATGTAATGAGTCTATCTCATATATTAGTTTCACCTTTTATGTTGCATTACTAAAATAAATGAACTTTTGCACGATATTCTAATTTTTCAAGTTTCACCTGTATATGGTTCTTTTTTCTTTTCCTGCAGGACTTCAAAGAACTACTACCTTGGCTGAGGCACTCTACTGTACTACAATGTATATTTCTGAATAATGCTTTAGGTATTGCTAGCTAGCTTAGGATGTAGCTAGGTATGAGGTTGTTTATTTCACTTCACCAATTATTTACATTTTTGGTGGGGGGTGCACAATCAGTTGCACTTGGTAGGGCTCTACCAAAAAAAACAAAAACCTGTGTATATACTTGTACAGCAGCTACCATATTTTTCACCACTAATTAATTTGTATTTACTGGCCACATTGCCCCTTTACATTTGGTATTTCCCTTTTCCCCCTCCAAGTTTGTGGAATACTCCAACTAGGCTTTTTGTAAAAATGTTTTAACACATTACTACAGCGGCTCCTATGGGGGTAAGCGCCACAATGGTGACAACTGTCACTGCGACAGAAAGTGATGGGTGATCAATAATTTTACAGTTGCCACAAAAACTGGAGATGAGGAGAATCTTCAATGAGTACTTTATAAAGATTTACTTTTAATTCCTGCTTTGTCTCTGGGACATGAAATAAAGGGAAATTTTAACCAATGTAACACAGATAACCAGATATACACTGGCAAAGGTTTTAACACTTTCCTATTCTATCCAAAACTAGAAAAAAAATGCCTACACTAATGTTCTAAAGCAGACTAAATACCCACAATATAAAACTACTAGCTAGTTTTTTTTTTGCAAAAGAGACATGCAAGACCTTTTTTTCTAGAAAAAAAAAGTTTTCACTGGATCATAGCAGTTTTTTATCCTCTAGGTAAATTGCATGACACGTGCAGGAGCAACATAATCAGTGGCTGCCCAATGGCTGATGAAGGTCATGGGACCCAGGAAGCAACTGCCTAAGGCATGACAGGGGAAGTATCAGAGACTAGTGCCTAAACCCGTCATTGTTAGAGGAGAACACAGTATGAGGTAAGTATGCCATAATTGCACATTATGACAACAGCCAACTCTCACACAGAGGACATCCCTTTTGCTTTAATGAAGTGCCCATTTTCAGTGATTTACTGTATCTGATATGAGGACTAGCTAACTACATTTTTTATACAAATGAGCAATTTTTGTGACTGAATCTTTTGGAAAAGCTATATTGACTTTTTTTGCCGAGAATCTTTTCAGCATATGCAATGGGGAATATCAGCATTTATTATGAAGACAAAGATGAATTCAAATACTAGCATGTGGCAACTCTCTTTTAAAAGGAAGAAGAACAATGATGATAAATGTACTGTGTAAAACAGGTGAATGATTCCTTGACATATGTATTGTGAATTCAGTGGATAGCAGATGCTCAACCTTTCAAAAATAGTCTGCTTATGATATCGTACACAAAGGAACAAAGAGAATCAGTGTCAAGAACTTTACCCGCTTTCCAGTCATGAAATCAAATGCAGAAAACTGCAAATTCACAAAACTGAGACAGATCTAGGACAGCCTCTCCTCTGGCCACAGAACATGAAGCTGTGAATATTGTCACTGGTGCACTAGTTTATAGTATGTCCACATTAATGCTCTTTTATCAGTTTATAAGCATTAGGATTGCATGCAATCTACAGTATATTAGTTGTATGCTTTTGCATAGAACAAATCTGGTGAATTGGAATTTAATTTCAAAGAGAGGGAAACTTCGATGCCTTTACTCTTGCAGCAACATTCATTTTCGAATATAGTATTGGATGTGAACAAGGTCTTATGCCACATGGTAAAAAATTGTAAATTCAAGAAAAAAAAAAAAAAAAAAAGAATTTACAATTTTTTTACCATGAAAAAAGTACACAGAAAAGAACACAGTTTGAGGGGCCTACATGCCTCAGACAATCGGTCATATAAAGAAGTAGGGTTGAATTCACAACTGTGGTGGTAATGCACAGGTAGGGAAGAATTATATTTATATGCACATTTATGCAGTAAAATTCATGAGTTTTACTCCAGGAAGGCGAATGAGTGTGAACAGGCCCTTAAAAAACCATTGGGGCTGGTATGACCCCCTCTAGTTCGTATGTCATAGTTTTCAATTCTGGAGGCAGGCATTTACATATATGGCTCCCTCTAGCTCCCACTGGCTTTAAGGACCCATTCACCAGTGCCATCTTAGTAGCATCATAGGCCCCTGGGAAAAGTAATGCACTGGGGCCCCTACCAGGGAGACTGTGACATAGCAAACAGTGTTTGTGGCTAAATAATTGCGTTCAGTTAACACAGATCGGTAGCTATCACTCACTATGCTCATTTAGAAAAGGTAGGGGGCGGTAAACAGGGCATATGTGCTGGCCCCTTCCCCTGCTCTCCATCCTGAAGATCCCCCTGTGTGCCTGGAACTGCTGGCAGTAGAGGAGGGAAGCAGGCAGCACTGCAGGGAGGGGGAATCAGTGCAGCAGGTGAGAGAAATTACTGGAACCAAACTTCTGTTTCTCACCCTGCAGCAACTGAAAGCCAGCAAGAGAGAGGAGGAGATCCTGGCTTTCAGCTGCTACAGTGATAACCAAACAGAAGATTGTTTTCAGTTATTTCCTCCACCCACCACACTTATCACTTGCTCTGCCCACCTACGATTCCCCTGCTCAGGGGGGCGGAAGTGCAGGAGCCCCCAAGGCACCTCGGTATAAGCATTTCAGCATGGGTGGAAACACACACACGTAAATGCGCTTGTACTGTTTCCTTTTAAAAACATACTAAACATTAGCGCATATATGTGGACTGGCCACACAGGAAAAAACTGGAATTTTATTTGCAATGCATTTTCATGCAGTAAAATTTGTGTGGTTTACTGCAAGAAAAAAACAAGTCTAAAGTATTCTGGCGTCTGGTTTAGAAGATCAGTCTTTTTTAGCAGCACACCCAGCTTTGGAGAATAAGACAGAATTGGCCTGGACATCCAGCCAAAGCTTTTTTTTCTCTTTTGTTTTAAACGGTATTTGAATAAGTTAGAAACATTGTCAGGTTTTTACTGCTTTCCCTCGTTTCTTGTGTGGTAACTGGGGCAGGAAGAGGGCAGAAATCAACTCAATGGAGACAAAGGTAGCAATAATAACCAGACAGAGGCTCTTACCCTTACCTCTAAGGCACTCAAGGCTATGGGATCTTGATGGTGAGTTATGAAATGCTGTGTAAATATCTGTGGATAGTAAATTGCTCTGAATTTGAAGCCAAATTCAATGTATAGATAGATGACTAAATACAAGCTGCACCAAAAGGGTCTGTGCTGCTGCATGAACCAATTGTATATAAGCTGACTTTTTGTAAGCAAGCATTTGAAGTAGATATAAGAAGCTAGAAAGTGACAGAATACCTGGCTCTACCAGAAAAGAATTCAGATTCCCTTATGATGATAGGTTTGCCTACTAATATTTATACCAAGAATTTCATTCCAATCCTAATAGCATCCTATTATTTTTTCAAAACTATTACATACAACTTTTATTTATTGATTGGCCTGTCAGGAACCATGACATTTTGCACTGGCAAAATGACACTCGGAGATTCAAGAATGAAAAGGATGGGCACCTGTGGTCTACTACATATAAAACACTAAGACTATCTTATTTCCATAAATACCTTGGATTTAATCACTTGCTCTCAGGCAGGCTCTTCTCAGGTGGTTTACTTTCCCCGTTTTGCCGCTCACTGTTTTTCTGGGACAGGCGGGTGGACATAGTGGCTGCTGTCGCCACAGCCTTGAAGCTTCGCTTGCGCTTCTGCACATTTTGCTCAGGGTGGAGGAGTATGATGTAAACCTTGGGCACGTAGAGCATTCCAAGAGAGACAGAAGCACTCAGGCTCATCGATACTGTCAAGGTGGTGGTCTGGATATAGATCTAAGTGGGTGAGGTAAAAGAAGACAGTTTGACTTCACTGCTGAATGAAGAACAATGTGAAATGACTCCAAACAATGAAAACACACTGGATAATGGCTCATGAATTCGACATGACCTGCAGAATGAAGATGGATTTCAAACAAGGGTTTTTTTTCCACAGAACACAGTTAATGAGCACAGGCAGTAACTGAATTGGTCATATGACATGATGAAGTTTCCATTTCATAGTGCAAAATGAGTTGTTGGCAGGAATGAGTGTAAAAAAAAAAAAGGTGAAGACCAGGTAATTCTCTTCACCTTTTCAGCAGACTGTGCGGTGCCAAAAAAAAATGGGTACAAAGGCCAGCCAGACAATACAAGTTGTGTACATAGTGAAACCGATTGGTTTGGCCTCATTGAAGTTCTCAGGCACTCCACGGGCCTTCACTGCATATACAGTACAGGTGACCATGAGAAGAATGGAGTACATTAAGCAGCAGACTAAGGACAAATCAGACATGTCGCATTTCAGCACCCCCCTAGCTAGCTCGGGGTTGGGTGTTCGCTGTTCCTCAAAATCAATCACACTGTGTGGAGGCAGGACTGCTAGCCAGGTGGCTGTGCCCACCAGCTGTACAGAAATGAGGCTGAAGGTGATAACAAGCTGGAGGCTTGACTAATGAACCGAGGAGGAGACACTGAGCGCTTTCCCTGCTCAAAGATGCGGTAGATCCTGTTGGTTTTGGTCAGGAGGGCGGCGTAGGAAATACACATGCCAAGACCAAGGAAAAGCCGCCGGAGAGCACAAACTGCAATTCCAGGTTCTGCCATCATCAGGAACGTAATGGCATACATTAAAAAGATTCCAGTGAGCAAAACATAACTTAGCTCTCGTCCAGAGGCCCGTACAATTGGAGTATCATTAAAACGTATCAGGGTGCCGACCACAAAAAGGGTACTGAGTATACCCAAGATTGACAAAAAGAGAGGCAGTATGGCCCATGCTGAATGCCACTCCAGTTTTACAATTGGTGTTGGGCGACAAGCAGTCCGGTTGAGATTGGGCCGCATGTCAAAGGGACAAGCCTGACAGTTGAAGTCATCCAGCTGGAACTGGTACCCATCACACAGTTCACAGTGCCAGCAACATGGCACCCCTTTACCATCTTCTTTCTTTCTCCAGGTTGACAGGGAAGGCTGCATACAGATGATGGAATTTCATTCTGTCCACCATACCACTGCATCTCCTCAATCTGCAGCAGGAAAATTTAAAAAATAACATTAGTATTAAGCACACATGGATAAAGAACAGCACATTATTGCTGCATATACATACATTTGAAAAAATTAGTTTAGTTATAACAAAGTTTTTTGATGTCTTATACAGTGTCCCAATGACAGGTCAGTGGTGAGGACAGGTGCGAGAAAAGGGAAAGGGGAAAACCTAGGAATGTAAAGAAAGAAAAACAAATTGTATGTTTTATTTAACTTGTAGAACATGGACAATTCAGTTAACTGAACGGAATATACTGTATATCAGCTATAATAGCTAAGACTTAACATGAATTATCATTTCATCTAACAGGGCCATTCTTACATTAAGTCGTAGGTACTCTGTCCACTGTCCAATCACTCTGTAGGATGGAGCAGAAGCATTGGTCATCTGATATTGGAATATGTCATATCGTCCTGGGGCATCTCCATTTTCATTGAACATGACAGGAGTTCCAGCACTTCCTAATCAATAAGAAAAAAGTCTATGGTATTTACCAAATTTCAGCACAGCGCTTCATAGTTTAAAACAAAGGAAGCTTTAATTAGAAGATAAAAGGTGTATTAAAAATCACTCCCTGTTTAGGCTGGGATCATTGACAGAATTGCTCTTACCATTGAAGTTCACTCTACGTATATACTGTAATAGCAGTCGCCCATCCATAGGATCCATCTTATCACAGACCCCAATGCTTCCCTGGCAGAGATCACTATGCATGCTGTGTAAGGCATGAGCCATTGAATACACTGCATCAATTACAAACTGTACTTTTCCCTCTTGTTCATACGTGGAGTCTCTGCTAATCCTTTCCTCCCCTGTAATACAAAAATGTAGGTTAGCATGGCCTAATACAGGCATTGCATAGCCATTAAAAAAACCATTAGACCACACTCCAAAGACATGCTGGTAGGTTACTTGGATCCTATCTAAATTGGCTCAAATATGTGTATGTATGAATGTGAGTTAGGTACCTTAGACTGTAAGCTCTTTGAGGGCTAGGGACTGATGTGAATGTACAATATATATATATATATATATATTTATATATATATATATATATGTAAAGTGCTGCGTAAATTGACGGTGCTATATAAGCACTTGTAATAAATAAAATAAATATTTAGATCTAAACAAAACCTATCATGTAAAACAGTGCTGTGCAATGTTATACATTTTTATTCCATCCAGTGGCAAAAATTTTCATCACAGTTGCCTAATTATGCTAGTTATACCTGCTAAATCAGCATTCCTGGTTCCACACTGAAAAATGTTGCTTTTAGGCAGAAGTGGACAGGAATCTTGTTTGATACTAATGGCATATAGAATATCAATGCATGCATCTTCAAGTACAATGGAAGTTGTGGTCCCGTGAAACTGGAATTATTAGATCATGTGGTCACATGTGCACATCAAACTCGGGTATATGGGTAATTTAGAGAGATGTGTGTCATCATATTTAGGGCTGAGGTGTGTAACATATGTAGCAGCAAGGGTTTTGTGGAAAGTGCTGAATATAAATCCCATGCTAAGACTGTACCTTTAGGCAAGGAAGCAAGCAACTGGACAAGCAGAAAGGCAATACCTACCAAAACTCTACTAAATGGCAGCTTATTGCTAAAATTAATTTTTTTCAAGACAGGTTTACTATTAAGGGTTACTCTAGATAAACTTACAATTTTACATACAAAATTTAGCACAGAAATACATGCAAGGAGCCCTGGCTATCTGTCACAACTAATTTAATATAATTCAGTAACAAACAACCTGAACTTGATCAGTTTTATGTTTATTACATAATCTGGGGTTTCCAGGAAATGAATCATCTACATTTGCTACTAAAACACATCAAACACACATTTAAGAAGCATCAAAAACCACAACATTTAAAAATTAACCCAACCAAGCACATTATATACAGTTGTGTTCAAAATAATAGCAGTGTGTTGAAAAAAGTGAATAAAGCTCAAAATCTTCTAATAGCTTTTATTTCCATACACACAAATGCATTGGTAACACTACACATTCTATTCCAAATCAAAACATGAAGAAAAAATAGATCAAATTTGTATTGTTCCTCTAAAAAAAATTGAAGAAAAGTGAATACTAGACTGTTCAAAAAAATAGCAGTGTTTGTATTCTTCTTTACAAACTCAAACATTCACTATATAAACCGAAAAATGTTTGAAGATTTTGCTTTCCTTTGAATCACTTAATGAATATTTAGTTGTATAAGCACTGTTTCTGAGAACTGCTGTACATCTGTGTTGCATGGAGTCAACCAACTTCTGGCACCTGTGAACAGGTATTCCAGCCCAGGATGATTGGACTACATTCCACAGTTCTCTATTTCTTGGTTTTGCCTCAGAAACTGCATTTTTGATGTCACCCCACAAGTTTTCTATTGGATTAAGATCCGGGGATTGGGCTGGCCACTCCATAACGTCAATCTTGTTGGTCTGAAACCAAGATGTTGCACGTTTACTGGCGTGTTTGGTGTCGTTGTCTTGTTGGAACACCCATTTCAAGGGCATTTCCTCTTCAGCATAAGGCAGCATGACCTCTTCAAGTATTCTGATGTATTCAAGCTGATCCATGATCCCTGGTATGCGATAAATAGGCCCAACACCGTAGTATGAGAAACATCCCCATATCATGATGCTTGCACAACCATGCTTCACTGTCTTCACAGTGTACTGTGGCTTGAATTCAGTGTTTGGGGGTCGTCTGACAAACTGTCTCCGGCCACTAGACCCAAAAAGAACAATCTTACTTTCATCAGTCCACAAAATGTTGCACCATTTCTCTTTAGGCCAGTCAATGTGCTCTTTGGCAAATTGTAACCTCTTCAGCACATGTCTTTTTTTCAACAGTGGGACTTTGCGGGGGCTTCTTGCAGATAGCTTGGCTTCACATAGGCATCTTCTCATTGTAACAGTACTCACAGGTAACTTTACACCTTCTTTGATCTTCCTGGAGCTGATTGTTGGCTGAGTCCTTGCCATTTTGGCTATTCTTCTATCCATTCGAATGGTAGTTTTTCGCTTTCTTCCACGTCTTTCAGGTTTTGGTTGCCATTTTAAAGCATTTGCGATCATTTTAGCTGAGCAGCCTATCATTTTCTGCACTTCTTTATATGTTTTCCCCTCTCCAATCAACTTTTTAATCAAGGTAGGCTGTTCTTCTGAACAATGTCTGGAATGACCCATTTTCCTCAGAATTCCAGAGAGAAATGCACTGTAACCAGCATGTACAACATTTGCTGCCTTCCTTCCTTAAATAATTGCCACCTGTTTTTCAAAGAATGAATGACCTCACTAATAGAACTCCACACTGCTATTATTTTGAACATGCTCCTTTCAATTAGTCATTCAATTACACAGAATCAGCAGCATGCATGTCATGACTGTTGGGTCTGTTGGATTTCTATTACTCTACTACACCTGCTAGTAAATTATTTGAAATGTAGAAATATAATTTCTACCAAAAACAGTGATTGATCATTGATCAGGCTAGTGATGTCTGACTGCTATTATTTTGAACACAACTGTGTGTATATATATATATATATATATATATATATATATACACACACACACAGTATATATTAGGAATACACTGATACCGAGTATTTTCATGTAACTCGTGAAAAAACTCTGGATGCAAATTGCACCACACAGATTAGCATGCGATTTGAACAGGAATGTGATCCCTGTCCAAATAGCATGCAGTTTCCCCACTGCTCCTGTGTGAACCCCGGCTTGTCATAGCCCGAGTCCACACAGGAGTGGTGCGGGAAACCTTCCTGCAGGCATCCATGCGGAGTCTCAGTGGTAGGAAAGGAGAAAGTTGCAGGGATTTCCATGTGACGGTGCTGACCAATCAAAAGTCCTTTAGCCCGAACTGTCATCGCTGCAAGGAGATTTCAAATCCCCACCGCTTTCTCTCCTACTACTGAGACTCAGCAAGGAATGCCTGCAGGGAGGTTTCCCGCACCGCTCCTGTGTGAACTCGGGCTATGACAAGCCTGGGTTCACACAGGAGCAGTGGGGAAACCGCATGCAATTTGGGCAGGAATCATATTCCTGTTCAAATCGCATGATATTCTTTGCGGCGCAATTTGGGTCCATTAATGCAAATTGCACTGCACAGTATTGGTAATTGGTATTGGCAAGTACTTGACCGAAACTATTGGTACTCATACTCACCGTTAAAAAAACGGTATTGGTGCATTGCTAATATATTTGCAGTGCTAGAAGCACTAGTCAGTTTACTGTCTTCTGTACATATTGTAAACATACCGGTGCACTTTCTCCTGGAATCTTCTTGTGAGGATGCAGATCTGGTCAGTTTGCACTTAAAATCATCTTCCCAAAATTCTGCAAACCAAATATTGCGCCGGTTGTTTTCCAGTGTCCGGCTGATA